AGTTGAAATGCCATGTGAGTGGTTTAAACTTATGCAAGCAGACAGTATGAGTTTTTTTCATAACAGCAAATCTTTAATAACTTTCTATATTTCAGAGGTTTTTCACTGTTAGTTGTTTAGTTAAGGAATAATTTATGTGATACATTTGTTATATAATTAGAAAGTTATATAATTAGAAAGTATCTCCAAATAGGTAGTACTTCTAATAGCCATCTCTAATGCTGGTTGCCAAAGCTTACTCTACCTAGCTGACCGTTTGGATGAAAGCTAATTTTTAGGTGCAATTAATTGCAAATGTAAAAAATAAGAGCTAGATGACTAATAGTTAGCCTGTCTCTATATAAATGGTCTAAGTAAATCTAGGATTCTTGGAACTCTGACTCACCCTAAAATTCCTATGTTTATGGTACATTTTCCCTTGGCTTATACACAAATATTGAATTTAACTTTTGTCCTAAAAATTAAATAAAACTGTGATGTAATCCCAAAAGAAATACTTTATAAATGTTATGTGCTTCCCACTGAAAGAAACTTACACATTCTCATGTTTCTCAAAAACTTTGTAAGCTGAGAAATGAACTGATTTTTTTTTCTTTTCATACACATGGGGTAGGGGATGAGAGGGTGAGTGAGGAGAAAGTCTTTGAATCTAAGAAAAGTGGTTGAAACTTAAGTTCCTCTTACGGATCATAAATTTGAATTTTTAAGCATCTCTAATTGCTTCCAGGAAACAACCAACTTTTCTGCCTCAGAATTAATCCAGCAAGATATTTATTAGATACCCATACATGAAACAAAGGGATGACCCCTCCCTCCAAAGATTCTTTAGAAAAGGCTTAAGAAGATCATCTCACTGGACTTTAAGTTAAATTATTTGAAGCATTTGACATTTCAACTTCATCTGACTTCTTTCATTTTTCTTTTACTTCACATTTCTGAAGAAAGCTTAGCTGTGAAAACCCCTAAGCTTACAAAATCTTAGAAATATTTTTGACAAACAACAGGAAGATGTCTCTAAGCTATTAAACAAAAGGAATTCACAACTTATTTTGGTGATTTTGCTGTTAAACATGACTGTTTCCTCCTTCCCCCCACCTACACACACACACACACACACACACACACACACACACACACACACACACCACTCCAAACAAAAAAGGGTTTATTCAGATAAGCTTCACACAATAAAAAGCCCTGGGTTTAGTTTTTAAAAATGTTTTCAGGAAGGGTCTAAGATTTCACTTTTCCTCATCCAGTCCTGAGTTGTTTCTGAGAAGAAAGTTTGTTCGGCAGCAGCAAAGTAACAAAAACTTTATCAAAAAATGAAAAGTAAAACTTTGGTAATAGTATCCTGTCGCTTATCATGAGTAAATATGGACTTTCATTAAATGAGAGACAAAGTGGAAACTGTTTTTACCCTTTGCTCAAGAAATAAATTCCAATACTTTATAAACAATGGGGCATATTACTAAGTACCATTTCAATGGGTGATTTCACTCAGATTCACCACACCATCCTCTTGAAATAAAAGATCTATAGTTGTTACGCATTTTATAACTATTACATAGTGATTATCAAATGTCAGAATAAAAATTCAGACTGGGTATTGTTTCAAAGCATATGGAAACAGCTTTTGGACACGGCATACCAGAAATTAACTTTAGAATGTAAAAATTAAGTTTAGAATGTGCTAGAAAATAGGTAGCATAATATATCAATCTCAACATTGGTAAAGGCAGCATTTGGCAACATTGTGACCAAATACACCTCCCTAGAAGAGACAAGTTGAGAGATGAGAGTTATTTTCTAATGCTCTAACTCTGATCAAATGATTATCATTTCAATTACCAGTTGCTTCAAATCTTTTCCAAGAAATTGCATGACTAGCTCTGGCTGGCTTACTACACCCGCCAAACAAATAGTTTATTAACCAAGAGAAAATACAATCCTTATGATGTCATCGATGAATAAACCCATCTTTCAAGATAGAGTCTATAGATTTTGTTCTCCCTCATTTTCTCTCTCTCTCTAAAACAGAGTTTCTAAATACACACACACACACACACACACACACACACACACACACACACACACACACACACACACACACACACACACACACACACACACACACACACACACACACACACACACACACACACACACACACACACACACATGCACACACAAATACAGGAATTCACATAAAATGCACAAGCCATAAACCTAAGTTTGGATTAATTGTGAAATCTCCAGTATGCTTTACTGTGGATTCACAGAGAAACTGGCCCTGCAACATTGTCAAATGCCAGGATTTAGAAGGAAATCTGATAAGAAGGAGGGGGAAACTACAAACCAATCCGAGAAACAAAACGGCCCACATATATATAGAAAATGTCTCAGGAAACATTACTTTGTACACACAATGGCATAAATCACATGTTCGTATTAGCTATTCTGAGCAAGTGCTGACTAAAGTTCCTAATACTCACCATTCTTGGGCAAGTCTTTATGTCTAAGAAAAGAATTCCAATAAGCTCATCTCATGATTACATTAGCTCTCTGCAAACTGAGAATTAGCACTGGATAAATATTGCTGATTTACTCTAATACAACACTAAAGGAACACAAAGAAGTACACTTTGTTATTCTATTAATGTACTTTGGCTTTTCAATTAACCCGTCTTTTAATCAATATTTATGTAGGCTGTGTTGAGACACTTTCTAAGTCCTTATCCCCTCTTGTCATTGTTTAAAGCTGCCTGTTTCTATAATTTGGATTTTGTTTCTACCACTGTACAAAAACAACTGATTTAATCATAAATTCTGTAAGCAGAATGTCTCAGAGGACACCGTCTAGCTAAGAAGTCACAAACCAGACTGGCCAGTCCATGTATATGGTGGTCACCAAAGTGTTCTAAAGCTTGGAAATTTTACACAAAAATATCAAGACTTCAATCTTCTCTTTAAAATAATAAAATAAAATAAAATAACGACACAAAGACAAACAAAAAAAACAGTTGAAACTGAATAGTAGCTGCCTCCATTAGACAAGATGTAAAATCTCTACCAGTCCCAATTGTATTATATCTGGTCTACTTTTCTCTTACCTGCCTGCCCCCCATGTTGGCACCAAACATTTAAATATCTATGCTCTGATTTGGTCCATTTACCTCATCCTACTGATGAGGAGACTGAGGCACAGTGACATGTCCTGATATCAATTTGTGGCAGGACTTGGATGAGAATCCAGGTTTCCTATTGCTGATGCAGAATCTTGAACTGTGCAGGCAGACTACTGAGTTCAAATTCCAGCCCTGGGGAACCAGCAGTTAGCGTAATGGCTATGTCGCTGGACTCCCACGTGGTCGATCACGGTCTGTGTCCTGGACCCAAAACTCACGCCGGGCGCGTGTGCGTGTGTGCCCAAGATCCCAAGAGGAGAATGGAGAAGGGATTGCGGAGTGACCATCCCCCCTGGGGGGTGATTTCTCGCTTTCTGTCTCTATGTCTCTCTCTGTCTGGCGAGCACACGCGCCCTACAGTGAAAATCTCTCCAAAAAAAAAAAAATTCCAGCCCTGGAATTTACTCACTGTGGAACAATGGGCAATTTCTTTAACTTTCCCATGTTTTGAAAAATATTTACATATATATACATATACCTAACAACACTATCTACCTCGTAGAGTAACAGCAAAGATTTAATCAGTTGACCTGAATGAAGTAGTAGGGCATCAGAGTTAACTATCATTGTCATTGTCATTACTTCTCTACATGGGTGTTTTCCAAAGTGTGGTATACAGAGATGTAATTAGATGGCTCATGGGCAAATGCATACATATAATATATTTAAAGTATAATTATAACTATATATATGTATGGTTACTCATTGTTTATTTTTGTGACTACTTTCTATGGGAAACTGGTTTTCTATTTATGGGAACTACAGAAAGTTTCCTGTCTAAATAAACTTAAGTTAAAAAATGGGTCAATTTGAACAAAATCATTAAGCAAACACAGGGCACATGTAAATATACCAAAAACCAATTGTCAATGTGCTGTGAAAATGACTACAGTTGGGGGCAATGTATTATATCAGCAGTTACAAATCCCTGAGCCCACTTTGAGTGGTCCACAGGGACAAAACAATTGTAATATTAACACTAAGACATTATTGGCTCTTTCCACTCCCATTCTCTTTCAGATTCCTACTGGGGGTTTTGCAGAGGCTGTGTGACATGGGATATCACAACAGAGTAAATGCAGAGGCAGATGTCAGGATGCAGCTCTCTATTAAGCAAAACAGTAAAGAGATTTTCATAAAATATAAAATAATGCCAGCATGTTTACTTTTTCTGTTTGTGAAATTATTTTAATTTTTATTCAAATGTTTTCTGTTTATAGGCTGAGATATTTGCCATTTTATTGTTATTTAATATTTTATTTTAAATATCATTATTTTATACTCAATTTTATCTCTAAAATTAACTTAGAGTAAAATTTCCTATTTTTGGTAGCACATGGGTAGATTAACATAAACACCACCACTAAGATCATCAAGACACAGACTGGTCCCTCATCCTCAGAACCCCTGGTACTATTTCCATTTCTTAGTAGTCATTTTCTACCCTCATCTTTCACCAACTCCTGGCAACCATTGCTTTCTTCTTGCTATAGTTTTCTTTTTCCCAAAATATCAAGGAAATTAAGTCATGCATTATAAACCCTTTTTTTTTTCTTACTTTTTTCTTTTTTAAAACAATTTTTTGCTAGAGGGTGCTTGTGCTTGCCAGATGAGAGAGGAAAAGTGAGAATGCACCCTCCATGGAACATGGTCATGCGGCAATCCCTTCTCTTCTATCTCTCTCTTCTTTCAAGATTCTGGGCATGCAGGGA